TTTGATATAATTAATGTTTCACACAGTTTCAGCTTTACTGAAGTAGATATTATTTGCCTATGTGGATACAAAATGCAGTATGATTCACTACATAACGAATTTACGTGTTTTTTGTATTTTAGTTCTGTGTCAATCCAGAATCCCAGGTTTTTACACTCATTCATTATAGGAAGCCGGAAATCATAGATTTTAAGGTTAATTTCCGTTTCGATCAATGTTCTTTCGTGTTTTGAGCCGAAAACTATAACTGAAGATTTAGATAGATTAGTTTTTAGGTTATGCGAGCACGAAATGTCTACTAGCCTTGTTAAGTCTTCGTTGAGCAATGCTTCTGCTATTTTAAAATCTTTGTGTATTATGGACACATTGATGAAAATCCGATATATACAGAGAGAAAAGTAAAGGTCCCAGTATGGAACCTTGAGGAACACCAAAACTTATAGCAGTTGACTGTGACATTTTCAAAGCTGTTAAGACCTTTTGATTTCTATTTGACAAATAGCAGCTTATCAAATTGACTGCAGCGTCATTAAAACCATAAAAACATTGCAGAAATTAATGAAATTCAAGTAAGACTCAAAGAACCATGTCCTGTTTTGGGCCACATCGCGAACAGAAATAAAATATGTATTACTGAATTTACCTCTGTATTAAAAAAAGAATTGAGTTTGTTCGCTGTATGCTTTATAATATTGTTGAAATATCCCATTAATCTGTTGATCGATGCATCACTAGAGATGTGAAATCTCGTAAATATGTCCTTTTGCTAAAATGGGTTTTTTATACCGAAGCAGCGACGCAGGCAGAAGCCTAAATGCCAGGGCACCGTGGCTGCTATGAGGAGCTTAATAAAACATTGATCCAATTTTTGAACTGGGCCCAAGGTTAGTAGAACTGTGAAAAGCCTCCTCATGTAGATTGTTCCACAATTTTGATAACCTTGAGATAAAAGAGCGAATGTTATCGGCATCATGGAGGAGAGCTCTGAGTCGCAAAGTCACCCTCTGAACATCATTGAGCATGGATAATATACTCGTAGTCGGGGCAGCATCACCCCAAACATGTGAGCAGTACTCGAAGCCGGGTCTTATCTGGGATTGAGCAGAGTGAGGAGGGCATGTGGAGACAAGTGCTTATTAGCCGTAATCAAATAGTCTAGTAGTTTAGTAGAAGTTATGTCATTATGCAAAGATCAAGAGAGCGCGCGCTCTATTTTTACATTGTATAATGTGCCCTTATTGCATCTTCCATTGCAATTGTGTTCAACCAGGGGCATGTTAGTTTGTCCTTCAACAAACAATATCATCAGATTCTATCACAATGGGTTTTCTATTTTGCTTCTCAGTATCAAAATTTATTTCTTGCAGAGACTTCGACAGCCTTTTTCTACTTACAGTTGGCAAACCTTCATCACTTTTAAAGACACTAAGAGTTGATCTAATGTGGGTATATCTTTGTTGAAATAGAACGTGTGCACTTTTCTTCTGAATGCCTGTTTCGTATCTTCGTCTATAGTTTTATTTGATCGTCCTGCTCAACGTCGTGGTAGTTTGATATCAACTTGGCTTTTGCTTTCACGGAGCAGCCTACATATACAGGGTGTCCCAGAAGTCGACGTCAAGCCGAAACCGGGTGATAGGCAAAGTCATAACAGCTATCAGAAAAATATTTAAAAAAATTTGTATTGTATGTATGTATTGTAATGTACGTGTTTTGAAAATTATAGGTCTTTGAAAAAAATATAGAAATTTCACACCCTACGGCAGTCTGTCAACTCCTGTTACTACAAATATTAACTTTTTTTTAACCTTACTGCCAACTTTTCTCGTTCAGGAAAAATTGCCACTTATTTCCCAACCAAGTATTCCCAAGTAAAACTTTGCTCAACTTTAACTGACTGTACTGGAAAAAAGTGTACTGCGAGAGTTTGGCAAATAACCTTAAAAGTTGGCGCATTTAATAAGGATTCCAAAATGGTGAACACTTAGAAGATTACTCGTTATGAAAACGCACAAGGACCCTTAAGGATAACTGTTTGCACAACAGTGGGCGTCAAAATGCTGCTGATGATGATGATTTACCTTTACAGCAAATGCTCAAACTGTTTTCTTTCAGCCGCAATACACGCTCGACATCTTCTTAAAAAAGATCGGGTTATTAAACGAGCGAATCCACGGTTATTAACAAACTCAGCTGCTTCCAATAGTCTTTGCCGTAGCTCAGCTACATTTTGAATCGGCTTGAAATACACTTTTTCTTTTACAGTTCCCCAGTAAAGAAATCTAAAGGATTCAAATCAGGTGATCGGGCTGGCCACGGTATTGTACCAGACCGCCTTATCCATCTGCCTGTAAAGTTTTGATCGAGATACTATCTCACTGAGAGTGCATAGTGCGCTGGGCAGCCATCATGCTGAAACCACATGTCCCTGTAAATACTCAGTGGCACGTCCTCCAATAAATTTTCTAAATGATTTTGCAAAAAACCTAAATAAACCTCAGCAGTCAAAGTCTCTGGGAACTCGAACGGACCGATTATTTTACCATTTAAAATTCCTGTCCAATGGTTCATCTTGAAGCGATATTGAGATTTATCTTCTCTCATCAAATGTGGGTTTGCTACGTGCCACTCGTGTAAGTTATGCAGGTTCATGTACCCATCTTTCTTAAATGTAGTCTCATCTGACCATACAATTTTTTCAAAGAACCGTGGATCTTCCCTGTGTCTTTCTAACATTGTGCGACAAAAAGCAACTCGGGGCTCATAATCCCGGGGCAGAAGAGCTTGAACACGCTGTACGTGGTATGGATGGAGCACGTTTTTTGCAAGATTCTATGGGCTGTAATTTAGGGCACACCTGTTTTTGGTTCTATTGCACGCACTGAAGTACTCGGGTCTTCTTCGACAGCTCCTAGCACCACGTCTTCGTAAGGAAGGAAAGATCTTCCCTGACCGTGTGATTGGTTTGGTAGTTGGCCCTCTGAGAACAGTAAGCGGTGCACATTTGTGAACACTCGATGATCTAGATGACGAGCTGCATTCGGGTACCTCTCACAGTAAAGTCTCGCTGCAGCACTAGCGTTGCATCTGCATTCCCCATAAATGCATATTCTTGTACGGTGTACACGGACATAGCGGCACTGCACAATCACACTATCAAAGATAGTCTAAGGAAAGCAAATGTTGTTTTGAAGAGCAATTAAACAGTCCAAATCCAAATCACAAGCGATTAACAGTCCAGTTCACGAATCCAAAATTAGTAACAGTACGAAATCAACAAGCACGAACATGTAAAGATGCGCAGTAAACGAAGGAGTACTGATCGGTATCAAAGTGTGCAATAGCAAGTAAGTGATGTGCTTCATCCATACCATATACAGCGTGTTCAACCTCTCCTGCCCCGGGATTATGAGCCCCGAGTTGCTTTTTGTCGCACAATGTTAGAAAGACAGGAAAGATCCACAGTTCTTTGAAAAAATGTTATGGTCGGATGAGACCACATTTAAGAAAGATGGGTACATGAACCTGCATAACTTACACGAGTGGCACGTAGCAAACCCACATTTGATGAGAGAAGATAAATCTCAATATCGTTTCAAGATAAACCATTGGACAGGAATTTTAAATGGTAAAATAATCGGTCCGTTTGAGTTTCCAGAGACTTTGACTGCTGAAGTTTATTTGGATTTTTTGAAAAATCATGTACAAAATTTATTGGTGGACGTGCCACTGAGTATTTACAGGGACATGTGGTTTCAGCTAGATGGCTGCCCAGCGCACTATGCACTCTCAGTGAGAGAGTATCTCGATCAAAACTTTCCAGGCAGATGGATAAGGCGGTCTGGTACAATACCGTGGCCAGCCCGATCACCTGATTTGAATCCTTTAGATTTCTTTACTGGGGAACTGTAAAAGAAAAAGTGTATTTCAAGCCGATTCAAAATGTAGCTGAGCAACGGCAAAGACTATTGGAAGCAGCTGAGTTTGTTAATAACCGTGGATTCGCTCGTTTAATAACCCGATCTTTTTTAAGAAGATGTCGAGCGTGTATTGCGGCTGAAGGAAAACAGTTTGAGCATTTGCTGTATAGGTAAATCATCATCAGCAGCATTTTGACGCCCACTGTTGTGCAAACAGTTATCCTTAAGGGTCCTTGTGCGTTTTCATAATCGCTGTTTAATTAGGAAATTTTGAAAAATTTTCATCAGTTTTTCTTCAAATAAAAGTTGTGCATAAGTTAACGAGTAATCTTCTAAGTGTTATACCATTTTGGAATCCTTATTAAATGCGCCAACTTTTAAGGTTACTTGCCAAACTCTCGTAGTACATTTTTTTCCAGTACAGCCAGTTAAAGTTGAGCAAAGTTTTACTTAGGAATACTTGGTTGGGAAATAAGTGGCAATTTTTCCTGAACGAGAAAAGTTGGCATTAAAGTTGAGACACCAGTTTGAAGATGCATTATTCATCATTACATTGTAAAAATAAAATCCAAAAAAAGTTAATATTTGTAGTAACAGGAGTTGACAGACTGCCGTAGGGTGTGAAATTTCTATATTTTTTTCAAAGACCTATAATTTTCAAAACACATACATAAAATTTTTTTAAATATTTTTCTGATAGCTGTTATGACTTTGCCTATCACCCGGTTTCGGCTTGACGTCGACTTCTGGGACACCCTGTATGGTAGATTTTCCATTCCTCGTCATATTTGAACATTTCTTCATAGTGTCGCCAATACTTCTAGTATCTGAGTGCGTCAAATACATTGAGAACAATAATTTTTTCGTTTACGGATACAACGCAGTTCTTTAGTCTCTTCGTCGTATAAAAAGCGAAGTGGTTGCCATTTTATTTATAGGCCACTGCGATTCTTCATGAAAACAATTCTGTCTACTCCTAATGCTGTAAAGAAGATGAAACATACTTCCAATAGACAATGTATTGAGATCAAGATCTTAGAGCCACAAAACAAGTCGTAACTGTGTTTGGTAGAGAAGTTCTGGCAAGTTCCACGTTATTGATGAGTCGGAGCCGGCAAAACGGACTAAAGGTATCCTATTTAGACTATTATATATACTACTAGGTAGTACCAGTCCAGCTTGAGCTTGACTCAAATGTCTTGAATCCCTACTGACTGGACTACAATCCAATCGAACCGTTTAATTAGGAATCCAGATACCATTCGTGGCATGCCACCACATAGGTATTGCATTCTATCTAGGAATTCCTGAAATGCCATGCAAAAGCGGATAAAAAAGTAATTAAAATTCACGTGTGCTTGTATAGTAATCATGTCACTTCTATTTTACATTTAACCGATAGTTTATTGCCACCGGAGATGCTAAACTCATGCGCACGTAGACAGTGTAATTTTAACCGCGATTGCAGCGGCGTACTCAAAATGGGTACCACAAAACGTTTTCTGTGACTATATGCGAGGTATAGGGCAAGCGAAAACTTGTTACGCAGAAATAGTGCCTCAAAAAACTGCAAAAGCATAAGCTTACTTTGTGGCAGTCATCGACCACGCAGTTTGCCTATCGATCGAATAAGTTTAGATTTGCGGAAATTTTTTGGATCGTCTAGGAACTTTTTCAGAAACTAAATTTTATAGGAAGTATTTGGTTGGTTGGAGTAAAGGGGTCATCGACAAAAGATGTCACATCAACGATCAGAGGCAATTTGAAAAACTACCAAAAGGTATTTATAGACTTTGTGATTCGAAAAATCAACTAGTAGTGCGATAACAAGCAAACCTATAATATCTAGAGTGAGTTGTTACGAAGTTCTTTTTATAAAAAAAATTGATCCACCCTGAACATACGTCCAAGCATCCGTAACAATACTTTAATGAATCTACGAGCAGTACTATAATCAGCAATAAATTCCTCGTTGTTCATAATCGTAATCATTCAACGTCACCCGCTCTTAATTGTTAGTTTTTTTATTCTACTTCTCTATCTACGAACTGATAAACGAAGCATTACGAACTTGATGTGATTCGTAGTGTGATCCTTGAAAATGCGGGAAATTGCTGACATCTCCGAAGTGACGTCAGTAGAGCGATTACAATTTCTGCACTAGGATTCGTCCTAGTCAGAGGACAAGTATACAGACTCGGGAAGAGCAGGATCACTCTCTGATCGAACAACTTTCTTTCTTCATCTGCTGAGCGAAAGAATACAAGGCGAAGGGATGCTATGTTGTCAGGCATTGTAGTTCCTGGGAATATATTCATTGAAAATATTACTGTTCCGTTTACGCAACTCTGCTAAAACCAAACGTCGGCTCATTTTGGGCTAACAAACAAGGTTAAAAATCGCTCTGAAATAAAGTAATCTCAAAATGCTTTCCAGGCTCTTGTAGATCAAGGTTTTCTTGGCGACCTCAAGTTTTTAAGCACTGGATATACCAATTTTTAGGGCTTTTCAAACATTAAATCGGTTATAACTCGAAAATTTTCAGCTTTAGAGAAGAGCCAATGGAAGCCTTTTTTGTATAGAAACTGGCAGTTACGAAAATCTGACTTTTTCGTGAAAAATTGTAACAATCGGCAACGCCGCTTCAACCCAATTTAAAGGAACAAGGCCAATGAAGCCGATCGGCGGTAAGCATAGCACGCAGTGGTCTAGCTACTCTTTGGTTTGATCCCCCACAGATTATTACTATTAGCACTTGCCTCTTAAAGTACACATCAAAAATAACAATGACATTATATTCTATTATTTATTTAATGGCTAGAAAAACTTTTTCAGCATGAAAGCCATCGATATGTTTCAGATGTTACACTAGTACAATCTTTTTTACGCAGATAATGTTCATAGCCACAGTAATGGGCTAATATCTGCTAATTATAATGTTTTTCCAGTAACAAATCGATAGCCAAATAAAGCGTGTTTTGTTCCAAAAATAACAACAAACAAATTTGATTTATATAGAAGTTTGTCGATTGTATGCTAATAATATCCAACCAACTGATGACTATGTTGATGACCTGTTCGAATTATAATAATCTTTGTGATAACGAATACTAATAAAGAATCCAGTAGAGATAAGGGGAACAATTTTAATATAATATGCAATTTGCAATGTATCGCAGACGTTTTTTTTTAAATGATATAAAAGCTGAAGCAAATGCCCGGCTTCTTTCAGAGTTTCTGACAATCTGAGACGGTCACTTACAACACACCAAGTTGGTTGTTTGGCTGACTGTATTTGACAGTCGCTGGTAGTCAGAAAATATTACTAAAATATTGTCAAAACAATCTTGAAACATATTGGCTATTCCTGGAAACTGGAACTGAAAAATACAGTAGGATTACTGAAAATCACTTTTTGAAACACAAGATTTATAAAAAAATAATGTAGGTGTATACAGGGTTATCCAAATTAAGTGTCCACCATTAGTAACTTTGTTATTAGTGAAAATACAAAGTTGTTTGAATTAGCAAACTAGTAGCATTTTTAACGCTGGTAAAAATGAGAAATAAAAAAAAACAATTGAGAGTCGTTATTTTGATTTTTTTCAGTAAAATAACATTTTTTTAAATGGAAACCCCTGTATATTATATTTTTTTCTGTTAAAGCATCAAATTTTAAACAAAAAAGTTCGTAATGACTTTTCCGCTAAAGTCAAAAATAAAGTCAAAATAACGATAAATATTTTTAATTATTTGCAGTATTATAATATTAAGACGGCTATGAAAACAACATGGCGTTCGCGATTTGACAACATTAAGATAAGCGACAAATTGTTAAACTGGACATACTCGCAACTAGAAGGCTTTGGAAAACAATGATAAAATCAAATAATGTCAAACATTAGTGTAAATACTTGTTTATAAGCTTTATTGTGTCATTAATTTAAAGAAAAATGTTCTCCCATGAAGAAAAGTGTGATATGTTAGAATGCTATTTAGTGTGCAGAAAATCCTCCTTGAGAGCAAGAGAATACTACAGTGAATTATATCCCGCTCGCATTCAACCGTATGAACGATATTTTCTGAGACTTTATCGAAAATTTAGGGGCAACGAAAATGTTTTTGCTAAAACAAGGGCAAAAAAAGAATTCATAATAAGCGAGGCCACGGAAATTGCAGTTATTGGATATTTTGAAGCTTATCGTGAGAATTCAATACCAGATATTCTCAAGGACTCTAATTTCAGTTATGGTACTGTTCAAAGGATTTTAAAAAAATACAAATTTATTCCGTATAAGTACCGACCAGTTCAAACGCTTTTGGCAGGGGATCCAGAGAGAAGACTTGTTTTTTGCCATTGGTATCTTAGCTTCTGTCGCCAAAATGTAAATAACTTTCGTTACCTTTTATGGACAGATGAATCAAATTTTTCAAATTCTGGAATGTTTAATAGAAAAAACCACCATTATTGGTCAAGAGAAAATCTTTTGTTAGTACATCCAAGAGGCCCACAAGTCCGTTTCAGTTTCAACGTTTGGTGCGGTATAATTGGTTCAAAAATTGTTGGCCCGTTCTTTTATGAGGGAACCCTAACTGGTGAAAGATATGTGGAATTTATGTCAGAAATTCTGACTAATTTCTTAGACGAATTGGATCTTATAAGTAGACATCATCTGCATTTTCAGCAAGATGGCGCACCTGCCCACAACTCCAGAGGTACTTATCATTTTCTAAGTACTACTTTTAATGATCAGTGGATAGGAACAAATGGCCCAATACAGTGGCCTCCCAGATCACCAGATCTAAACCCACTTGATTACTTCTTGTGGGGTTACTTAAAGAACCAAATTTACAAGCGAAGGTACGATAACCTTGACGCGTTAAAGACTGCAGTTAGGGAAAAGATAACCCAGATAGATGGTAGGACCATACTTAAGACAGTTCGAGCAGTTGAAAAACGTGCCCAAAAATGTATTGAAGAACAAGGTGGTGTTTTCGAGCATCTTCTTTAAAAAAAAATTGTTATTGTATTTTGTAAGATTATAAGTTGATGTTGAAAATAAAGTTTGTCGATACAATTTAATTGTTTCAGATTGGAGGCCATAACTTCAACAATTTGTAACCTAGGAGAAAAGTTATTGTAAGCTTTTTTGTTTAAAATTTGATGCTTTAACAGAAAAAAATATAATATACAGGGGTTTCCATTTAAAAAAATGTTATTTTACTGAAAAAAATCAAAATAACGACTCTCAATTGTTTTTTTTTTATTTCTCATTTTTACCAGCGTTAAAAATGCTACTAGTTTGCTAATTCAAACAACTTTGTATTTTCACTAATAACAAAGTTACTAATGGTGGACACTTAATTTGGATAACCCTGTATAAGAGGAACGAAGTAGCGGGAGATAATTTTACTCAGGACTGTTTTTTTTTCAAGGTGGTCATAAACGAAGGGTTTGATGACTCTAAATTCTAATAAATTTCAAAAGTGAAACTCTCTGCAGTACCTTAGCTATCTTGACGGTTGTAAGAGGATAAATACTTTACGGCTGTAGCTTATTCATCAACTTGATTATAAAATTCATTTCAGGGAAAATTTTGTTGAAGCTAGAATGGAGCAATTTAATCACATCTTACCTATATTGATTATAAGGCAGCATTCTTTCAAACCATCCCACACTTTTTGGCGGTAAAGGAAAAATGGCAGCTTGTCAGCGGTGACGTTGCAGAAAGACAAGTGACACTATCAATATTGACAGTGTTGTCAGCTGTTTTTTCACTGCAAAACACGTTGCCAGTTTTACCGTGGTGTACTTTACCAGGCCTCAGTTGACCCCACATGCTCGCCACCAGTGCACATGCGACGCCGAAGCAGTGTTGCCGAACAGAAAAAGACGAAGTCCGTAAATAGAGCATTGAAATTCAGTAGATTCAGCGATAGATCAAGCACTTATGGAAAAAATGCACACGCAACACAGTTGTTTTGAGGACATCCTTTCTTAAAAAAAATGAACTTCTTTATTACAACTTATGCAATGTGCATATTGGTCGCTCCCCAAACTCCTTTGCAACCTTCCTCGAAGCTCGTTTTCCATGCTTATTATAAGATTGCGGATATCTTTCTATTTTAT